CTCTGTCAAGACTTTTTATTTCTCTAATTTAATTGGAAACTGATTATTGAATAAATGTTAAATGCATGGAAATCTATAGAAACTGCTTGCTCTTATGCAAATTTTATTTGTATGCAATTTACATATGTAAATCTACATTATGTAAATTGAATAGATTCAATTGTGTCCAGAATTATGAGAAAGAACTGTAGTATTATGTATATAGAACATTATAGATTCAAGGCACATATCCAACTCTAAATTGGAACTAGTGGTTCATAGAATAAACATTTATGATCAAAGTTGGCGATTCTTGAACTCACAGTTATGAGAAAATAGTTAATACAAGATATGTAAAATGATTATTGGTAGAGAGCAGCTTATTGTTACAACACAAAGCTGATTTCAAAAGTAGCAAAATTGAGCAACTTTTCAACCACATTGCATAATAAAATACGACACAATTTTAAAGTTCAGGCAATGATATCCAGTTATTAACAATCGGAAAGCGGACGGTCGAATGATGAGTCGGATGGCGGTGCTGAGTTTCATTTGACTAAATTTTTTGAGCTAAATTAGTGTATAATTAGTGTAAGCTAATTAGTGTAAAAGGTTTTGTTGTCAGAAATGACCCGGCACCGCTAGCGAACTATTAATAACTAGACTGCAAATTTGTGACATTTTCAAGTTCATAAAACACAAAATATCGTTCTGACCATGTTAACAATAAACGATTACATTTTTGCTTGATCTCTGAGAAGAGAAATAAATTTTTCCGTATTTGGATTTTTTTAAATAATCTGTGATAATGAAACTTGCATATGGAACTGCAGTCTAGTAATAATTGAAAAAAAAATATAATGAGTGAGAAGAAAAAGAAACATATTAAATGAAAAACGAAGGATGTTCTATATGCAAGAATTGAAATTCTTTAATCAATTATATCAGACAGGATATTTAAAAATTAACTGTTTATAAAGTGTAACCATTTATTAATGAATTTAATTAAAAATCTTAATCGAATAATGTTCAGCTCTATCTACATTTTACAAAGAATAAGAATTTATTATCTTCTGTGGAAAACAAGTAATAAAAGTACTCGATAAATCCTCGATCAATAAATCAAAATAAGAAAATAACAACAAGAGCTATCGAAATTGTATACAAAGTGATTTAATCTGACTAAAATTGATGTGACAAAGTGACTAAAATTCATTAATGCCAAAATTTTGGAACCTTAACCGCTTAATGCCTAATTCTGCCTGCGTTTTACGAAAATTAAGAATTGTCATTGCAGAAAATAAATCGAGCAAACAAGAAATATAACAAAGGTACACAATTCAAGAGAAAGCACATTTCATAAACAGGAATCGAACGCATTCCTTCGATATTTCGTCAAAACGGTAATCACGAGGTTCAGTCTTGAAACTAAACGTCATCGAATACTCCACCTTGAATCTCCTTCAGCTGATTATTGTAAATATACAAAAAGTTGCCCCTGGTCATACTGAGTCCATACAAAGCCCCGTTATTCAACTTCTGGAACGGATTCTTCGAGATGTCCAGCACATTCAAGCTCCCGAAATTCTTGCAAGATCCTTTTGGTATATCTACGATCTGATTATCAGTTAGCCAAAGTCGTTTTAACTGAGGCAAACCTTCGTAACTGTCTCCATCGATCGTCGTCAGAGTATTGTTATTCAAATGCAGATCCCTCAGTGTCGCCAGTTCAAAAGTACCCTTCGGAATACTCGAGATCTTGTTGCCGGTCAGGGACAGTGTGAACCTCGGCACATTCTTGAAACTGCCAGGATCCAAGCTCGAAATCTGATTGAAATCGATGTGCAAAAAGTCTAGGCTCTGCGGCAAGCACGAGAAGGTGTCCTTCGTGATGCTTTGGAACTTGTTCCAGGCTAGGTTGAGGTCCTTCAGGTTCTCCAACTCTGCGAACGTTCCCTTTTCCAATTTAGTCAATGAGTTTCGATGAAGATACAGTGTCTTCAATTGCGTCAGGTTTCTGAAGGCCCCACGCTCGATTTGCATAAGGTTATTCCTCGTCGCTATCAGAACCTGTAGCGACTCTAGACCAAGGAAGACATTGTTCTGAAGCTTCTGGATATTGTTGTTAGCCATGTTCAGGTAGATCAGTCGAGGGAGATTCGAAAAAGCACCGTCAGGAAGCGAAGCAATGTGATTACTGGACACTATCAACTGTGTCAAGCTCTGCGGCAGGCTCGCGACGAAAGACAAGTTGTCCAGCTGATTGCCGTGAACGTATAAACCCGTCAGATTCGTCTTCTCCAGGGCACCCTCCTCTATGTTCTCTAAGAGATTGTCCTTTAGATTTACCACTTTTAGATGTCTATTTTCTATCACCTGACTGTGGATAGTTCTGATCCTGTTTTCCATCAGGTTCACGTAAAGCAGATCCTCCGGCAGTTCGTTTAGTAATTCTTTGGTGATCTCGGTGATGTCGTTGTTGGATAGATCTAAGGTAGCTATTGGCAGCCGCTGCAGTTGATACCAACCCTCGTGAAAACCTTTTATACCGAGCCCTCTTAGGCTAACCTTCCTTCCTTTCTCGTCTACTAGCACCTCCAGGCAAGGGCTGCCCTCGGCGATCTTTTTGCCCTCTTCTAGCGGTTCGATCGACAGTACGATCCTCTCAGGAATACACAACTTCAGCCTTGTGGATAGCCATGTCACTTTGTTCGTCTGCGGACTCTGAGCTTTCGAAGATTCTTCCTTGTTCATACTTTTTTCCTTCTCCTCGTGCCTCTGTTCAATATCCGCTTCTGACTTGATTGCATCCAGCTGCTTCAATTCTTCCTCGTTCTTCAAGAACGAGTTCGTGAAAGTTCCTGTGCTTATGCTCCAGAATATGTTGCCCTCCGTGAGGATGGTAGCGGATTTTGTTAAACCGAACAGCTGACCTCTGCGAAGGTGCATCACTGGATTACGAGAGATGTCCAGGATTTGAAGTTTTTCTAATCGGACAAATAAGTTTTCCAGATTGGAGATCTTGTTGTCGGATAGATTCAAGCACTCCAAGTTAGTTAGATTGGAGAACATGAACTCTGGCAGAGATTCTATGGAATTGTTCGCTAAGCTCAACGACTTTATAGTGGAAACGTTGTCGAGAGCATTTTTGTCCAGTTTTTGGAGGTTCATGCTTGACAGGTTTAGCTCTGATACAGGATCGCTAGTGTATTGAATGTTCTTCAGGGTTCCATTCTCGATGTCCAGGGTGTAGTCGTTCTTCAGCGAATTCAGTGGCGCTGCTGCCACTAATGGCAGCAATAAGGTAAGGAACAGCATCGTTTCTTGAACCCTGAAAGAAATTGCATTTGTTTTTCAAAAGTTCCACGTGCACAGAGTTTAGAAAATAGACTTGTAAACAATATGTAGATTGTTGACAGTTATTTTATGTTCATTTTTCAGTCTATTATGTGTCCAAAATTGGATATCGAGCAACGATTAACGAACTATTGATACGATTTTCATTTCGTTTATTTAACTCGGCAAAATATTTATTTTTTTCCGTAAATTAATCATCTGTAAAATAAATCATACGAATTGATAGGTTCATAAGTATTCGCAACCTAATAATAAGTATACAAAAAGAACGAGGAAGGAAAAAGCAGTACAGTTTTTTCGTAAACAAAGGTTCGTTGCATTTGAATTATCAGAAATTACAATCAGTTCCAATTTTTATATGAAGCGCTACATATTCTTCTTGTAAGATATGAAAGCTCGTATCAAAATTTTAGAATAATTTTGTATATTGTTGTTGCGAAAGGTATTGCATACATACAATTAATATGTTAAGGAATTAATTTTCGAGGGGTGCGATTTTTTATGTAAGAATTGTATTGTGAAAGTAGATAGAACTGTATGTTATATCATCTGGTGAGTTTAATATTTAATAGTGACAGCGAACCGAGACTTTTAACGTGCTGATAAGAATTCTATTCGGTTGATCGAAACATAAATAGAACTGACGAAACATTAATCAATTCTAAACTTTCCGGAGTTCTAGTCTATAAAAGCAATAACAGATTCAGTTGGAATACATAATAAAATGAATATTATTTTGTATTTATAGTAGGAATAATTGTTTCATAATATGACATGTCAACAACAAAAAAATAAAAAATAATATTCATCGACTAAAATAGTAGAGTACATTATCATTTTGGTAATTATGTACACTGTCGTTATTAACACATTATTCATGGATTAATTAATAGTTCTTCAAAACTGATGATTTGTAGCCCACACATTCGTAATAAATAATTTGATCTTAATCTTGAACCGACAAATTATATTCAGCAACATAATCTAACTATTTATACTTAATACTATTGTTTTAAAAAAGATGTTCAAAGTTTCGTATATAATACTGTGTTGTTATTGAAAATCTGGTTTACAAGATATTGCAGCTAAGAAATGTTAAAATTAATCGAAGAAGTAATTTTTCTTTGATACATATAACGTGCCCGTTTTGAAAATTGTTTCGCATAAAGATTGTATTTTATCCCTAGAAACCACCTAACTTTCTGCAATTGGCGAGTAACACAATTAAAAATTATACGGCCAATCGACTTGCACTCTTATATTCTTTACAATGATATTATGAATAATTATTTTCAGATAAGCGAGATGAGAAGTTTTGGTTAAAACGTTAATCTTCTTTATCGAATTGCACGATTCCGTCAATTATGCATTTTCTTTTTTTAACACTAGATTTACGGAGCACAAACCCCAAAACAGCTATTTTATATTAGTTTATAAAAACAACAATAAGACATTTATTCTGATTTTTAACAAGTGTTATTGCAATATTTGCCGTAAATAACATACAAATTGAATAAATAACTCATAAATATATCTTTGCGATATGAATAATCGTAAATGAAAAAATTAGTGACCCGTCATTTTCGCGGGTTCCGTAAATCTAGTGTTAACGAAATCAGATTCAGGTATCGCGGAATTATATCAGGAGTACAAGACCATTCGATTTGTTCATTCCAAGCACAGCGTAAGTGCAACGTACGGTAATTGCGCGTCGGCCGACGACTCGACCGTCGAGGTGTGCGAATCCTTCGCTAGATTTCGATTACTACCCTATTCCTTAACAAACACAGATGATCCTACTCTCAGAATCCCGTAATAATGTACCGTAGAGAGGAACCTCGATTATCCGAGCCTCCGATATCTCTGATTTGAACAAATAGATCAATTTAAACTAACCCACACCCAACGGTATTTATCGTACCACTCGATATAGATGTAATCTAGCACTGTGTAATTTAGAACTAATTGCAAAGAACTGTTTTATTATCCGAACATTCGCGTTTCACTGATATCAGTTCGGTCAACCGTGGCTCTCCTCTGAAAAGATCTGCTAAAAGTCCCTTTATTTGCAACGCGACGCGCGAGCTGCTTCGAGTTAAAGGTCGAAACGCGTTGTTGAACAGTGTTATCGGTCACACGCTACAACTATGCTACTCACGTCTCAGGGCTGGCTTCCGAAAAGCGTGGACGAAGCTTCGGTCGCAGGAGGACCGTTCCTGCGTCTATTCCTGGCGAGTAGTTCGCGACAAGATTCCTCCGGACACTCCGGACGTAGCTATCGCGAGAACAGGTCTTGCAAGCCTTTATACCCTGTGGATTTTGAGTGTGTCTGAGAAATCTCTATGGATTGGTACGCGCGAGTGTCGCGATAGTGTGCGTCGTCGATTTGGCGTGTCGAACGGGAGGCAACTGGCTACAAGGAACAGCGCGGAAAGAGAAAAAAGAACCGGCGAACGTTCGTGGAACTTACGTTAAGTCCCCCCGCGGAGCTATTAGAAGCAGAATCTCGTCACGTATCGACTGTCAAGGAGCAGGAAGAGGAGTACAACGAGAAGTTTCCCATCGAGCGCGACCCAGCTCGAATCGTACCGAGTCTATTATTAATTCGTTCTGTTCGCGGAATCATCTCTCTTCCGTAATCGACGTTTATTTATCTGTCTATCTGCGCAGACGTCTCGAACGGGGCCCTGCGGATCGGCGGACATCATTGGCCGGCGCGGTCGCGTTGACCAGTTTATCGCATCACAAGCGATTGGCGCACCGAGTTTATCTGTCGACTACTTCTCGCGATAATACGGTATCGCGAACTATGTTCTATGAATGGTTATGCTCGAACGATCGGTTTGCTCGAGAGTCGGCTTATTGGGCCGTTATCAAGAGGTCGAGAGAGCTGGCTGTGATTTTGTGATAGTGCCCAACGAAGTATTCAGGTTTCGAGTGCCATTTTTCAAAGCGGTTTTTAGGCATTATTTTGCGTTGAACATGTACAGTCGCGGAGAAATATATGTGAATTTTGTTTAGAACGGAATGACTTTTTTTAAATTGGACCGAACGAGTTGAACGTCTTTGAGGTGTTCGAAGAACTAGACACACTGGGCTGTGTATAAAAAGAGTGTTACAAAAATAGCAATTGCGTGAAATGAGAAAAAAGATAGAAATCATATTTTTTTCAACTTTTTTATATATTCTTTTCTCATTTCACATAATTACAAGTTTTGCTAAAATTTGTTGATGTATTGTCTAGAAAATCAGCTCTTCTATCGTCTCAACAACATTCAAATCGCTTGGTCCAATTTTAGGAGAGTTGTCCCGAATGTCGAATATTTTTCTAAGAACTATCTTTGTCCAAAATTTCATCAAAATCGATGTATATTACTTCGTTATATATTCCCACATGTATGCACAATTTAACAAAGACAGACTTTTGCATGTTTCATAAGTGCCAGTGAATTGTATCTTCGGTACACTAATAATATTGAAGGATATAATTGGCTTGGCCAGATTATACAGGGATCCCCGGAAAGAATCATCCGATTTCAAAAATTTATATTTTAAAAAATTACACACAGAAAATTATAATTCAAACACGAATATAACGGGAAAATGTGCGAGTTTTACTTTTTATTATTTTTTTCTCAATAGGTGGCACTAGCTGTTTGCTTGTTTTGCTGTATTGTGATGTATGGTTCTACACAGTTGGCCTCCGAGATCACCCGACCTAACCCCATGCGACTTCTTCCTTTGGGGATTTGTGAAGGATCTTGTCTTTGTACCACATTTACCTACAAGTGTAAATGAACTGAAAAAACGCATTTGTGATGCTGTACAAACAATTACCAGAGATACATTACACCGTGTTTGGCAAGAACTTTCATATCGCAATGATATCATACGTGTAACGAAAAGAAGTCATATTGAACACTTGTAAACAAAAACTCACACATTTTCCCGTTATATTCGTGTTTGAATTATAATTTT